ATATTTGCATTCACCCTACTAAGAGAGTAGCTTGTGTAGATCAGTTGACAGCTAAAACTACAGACATAGAGGGCCAAGACTATTTACCAGTTATGGACATTATGACTAGAAAATAAAAGCACGCTTCATGTGCTTGTTAATACTTAGGGGTATAAAATGACTTATGTTCTATAATTATCAGGGTTCATCTTTGAAATACTGATGAAGCTTAATTTTGGCTTTTTGAAACAATAAATGGTTGCTCTTTTTTGTTGTCTAATTTCACTAAAATACTGACAAAGATGTTTAAGTTTATTCTGTTTTTATCTAGTTTATGGCCTAACAAGACATTGGAACAAATTAACAGGTTTCTTATGCGATTAACAAAAGATGAAAGTGAAATTAACTTGGCAACTGGGGAAGCAGATCCAGAATTCGCTGAGTGGAAATGGGCAAACCCTGAAGAAGTTATAGAACAGGTAATCTGCCAAGCCTTCACAATGATTAATTTTCTTTGATTTGCATTATATGAAAAACTTTAAGATATTATATAAGAAAAATTGTGACAGGCAGTGGACTACAAGAGGCCAACATATGAGGTAGTCATGAGGACATTCAGGCCCTACTTGGATGATGGTAAAGCTGCAAAATGTAAATCGACAAAATGGTAAATGTCTTAGCTTGCTCTTATAGGTCCGTCCATGTCTTTACAAGTAGAATTTGAATTTGAACTAAGTAGAAGTTTGCTCTCTGTAAATGGATGTGGCAGTTAGAAGTTAGAACTACCAATTTAGACAGTTGCTCATTTGTGATTAAAAAAAAATCCCCCTTGTGCAGAAGTATCTATTTTCTTCCAAAAAAAAAAAAAACAAAAAAAAAAGAAAAGAAAAAGAAGAACAGCGGGGAAAGTTGCATGTTCTGGAATTTGGATTGAGCATTTCTGTTTATATGATGAGATATGTCTCTCACCATGCACCAACAAACAAAAAGAACTGCCAATTTCTGTTTGTCAGTAGCTAGTTGTGAGATAACCATTTTGCTTGTCTATTCAATTGTTCCGTGGTAGGAGTATATAATATTATCTAGAATGCGTGCCTTTACTGCTGCTTGCAAATTGCAGGTAGATGAAACAAGGATCTTGTATCTGATCTGAGGCACCATTTTGCTTGCCTAAGATCTTCTAATCATATTGCCTGTCAATTCTCCTTGCCAATATGGATTTTTGGTATATTTTGAATGAAAATGAAATTTGTTCCATTTCCATATGATATGAATCTGCCCTAAAATCTTTACATTTTTGAAGTTCATGTTTTGTTCAATAAGAAAAATAAAATTTGTTAATGGCCCAACTTGTTGGGTGTAAGTTCTTTTGTATGGGATAAAATTTATGCTAAAGTCACTTTCCTTTTTTGGCCAACATGCTAAAGTCACGTTTGGTAGGACCAAAACGGAATGGAATGCACCTCTCATTTTCATCCCCCTATATATTTTTACTGTAGGGTGGTATTATAGGGATAACTTTTTTATCTCACTTTTTTACACAATTTTTACATATCATTAAATGAGTGAATGCATTTAATATCACAAGTTTTACATGAATTAAAAGAACCAATCATTTTAATAACACATTAGGTTGTGCAAAAAAGTAGAACAAAATAATTATCCTAATAGCATTTCCTTTTTACCGTAAATTAAGTTTATTTCCTTGCCATATTTAATCGAGCAAACTTAACAAGGGAAACGAACGGTTCCTGAGGGAGATGATCCCTTTAAAGTCTGAAGTGAGAATCATGATTCCCTGTTTGGGAAATGGGCATTTATTCCACTCCCTCCCCATCTCTTCATTTTTTTGCCCCTTTCATTTCTAAACTAAAAATATCTGAATAACTCTTCACCAGGGATTCCATCACAAGTTTCTTCTTTAATCCTTTGTCCTGCAAACCATATTCTCTTAAGCAGAGTTCAAATACATTAGTAAGCATCACAGGCTTGAATCTCAAGAGCGTTTGGCATACTCATTCAAGAGATGGAAAATGTAGGCAAGTGCATAGTCCATCTTCAACTCCCATTGAATAAATTCGTTTGTTGCCTGCCCAATGGCCTGTGCCTGATCAAGCGAATTTTAGTAAGATACATGACACAATAATATTTATGTTTTTGACACAAGTATTTTATATTTTCTTATCCTAGACTCAAAGTAAAAAAAAAAAAATAGAGAATTTTAAATGTTAAATAAGTAATTAATTTGTCAAGATAAAATGACAAGCTCATATAACAAAAGAAAGGTTAATAATGCTGATTAAATTCAGTCTTAAAATTATAAATATCGATTACTTATTTCATGTTGTTGTCGCCCTAATCAACAGCATACTTGATTGATCTCCACTTATGTCATCCTTAACGGCCCAATGGTGACGCATCGCCATTAAACCTCTAGTGAAAAAAATCACAGTAATTGGGGTTTTACAAGTAAGGTTACAAAATCACAAACAAAAATATATTTTTCACTGACAAACCATGCAGAGTCTTCATTGTAGGTCTTGAACCTGCATCAATTTTACATTCCAAGATCTAAATGTTAATCAGTGATATTAATTAACAAATGTAAATAGAAATGAGAAGAGAAGTATGAATGTTTAACCTGTGGGTACATTGGCTTGCTAGGTCAAATTGCTTGTAACCTTGCTTTGATTCTGTAATCCAATCCTGAAAGTATATTATTTCCAAGAATTAGGAGCAGTTACTAATATCAATAAAGTGAAATGCTTTGAGATTATTGTACCTGGGCATGAACACGAGCACCCCAAAAGAAGATTATATTAATCTTCCCTGTAAATTGCATACTGCATTCCCAACACTCCAACATGGTACTGCCAACAGTATATTAGTAAATCTTTTAGTGGCCGAAAAAAAAAAAAGTTTTAATCTTTTAGTGGCTGAGTATTGTACTAACAATTTCTAATTATCAGAATGTTAAGCGTGTGTAGAATATTATGATGCCCGTAACAAAAATAAAAATAAAAAGGATTAAAATGCTTCAACATTATTATAAGCCTAACTGAAAAGAAAATGAATACATTGTAAAAATTCTTATAAAGATAATTTTGATTAC